AAGACGGAAATCTTGGGACTCACCGCTCTGAAAAAAGCGAAGAAGAAATGTGTGGGATGAGCAGAATTCAGGCGTAAATTCGAGAAACTCCGCCTCAAGTTCTACATGCCCTGATGATGGAGGCAGTATGACCTCCGAAACGTTGGTTAACATCGACCAGACTACACAGCGCAAGAACCCAGAAGACAGAAGTCTTGAGACTCACCGCTGTGAAAACTTCAAATATCGCCCTGATGATGGAGGCAGTATGACCTCTGAAAAGTTGGTTAACATCGCCCAGACTACACAGCGCAACAACCCAGAAGACAGAAATCTTCAATTTCTTCTCACTCTGTTCAGGAAAATGATGAGATACATCGTTAACATAAGTCATTGCTGGTTCATTCCACATCTTTGAATGTTTAAATAACCATTCACAGCCTTGAACCATATTTTCTGTCCTTTGATTAAGCTTCTAAACACATTTCTTTTTTACTCCTCTCTGCATTTGCATAGGTACTCATATCTGCTTTCCCATATGTTTCCCCACCAATACTGCATATGTATTTTGTAGGCTTTTACTTCAAGTACATGAGCAGCACTCTCTAAGCACCTCAGTTTGAGTTCCATAAAGGTGGTTGACCTATATAAATCATGATGTTCTTTATATTGTTATACCTTCTATTCCCTACTTACTTCATCCCACATCGTTCCTAGTATTTTACTAGAAACTTTCTTCCCATCACTTGTCTTCATCTCACAAAATAAGAGATAACATTTCACAGTCTCACAGAACAGCAAACAGAATTCCAGTAGGCCTGTACAAAGTTAAACTCATATGTATCTATTTGTTTAAAGGTCAAAGGTTTGCAACACTGCCTAAAGAATGTGTATCTTATTTTTTGTGTAGCGGGATGAGGTGCGTGTCATCCGGCAATCATTAACAGCTGCCCGTAATGAAAAGAAACAGTTGCAAGAGCTAGTAAGCCAGAATAAGGTCAAGACCGAACAGGTGAATTTAACGTTGTGTCAGGAATGCAAACTCTTGATAGGACATGGAGAGTTGAAGCAAAACAAACAGGCACACCAGGTATTGAAGTAAAATGACTTTATGTTATGTATAGGGACTATTAACATGTTCTTAAAAGTTTAATGATGCTATTTAATGTGCAAATGATTTCAAATTATATGTTAAAAAGCTCATGAATGGCAGGTAAACATTTGAAAGAAGGTGTCATAGCCTGTTTCAGCGTCTAACCTGGCATGTCTGAAGAGACTGAATAAAACCACAAAATATAAATCAGGACTTCTAAATTTAGTTTTTAATCTTTGGTTTATTCTCTTAAATGCATTGACAGTTCTGATTAATCAACCTCATAAACCTTATATGACATTATTTAAATTTACTTTATCATGGCATTATTGGATTGGTTAATTGAAACACTCTCAATATATGAAATTTTAGTACATTCAGTGAGGCAGGTAACATTTAATGTATTAAGTGATTCAAAATGGAAAATATACAAATCATTTATGTAACTGCTGTTCATTTTCAAGGTGAAGGAGGTGTCAGTGCAAGCAGATGAAATTAAAAACATTTTCTCAACGATAGATAGAAAAATGATTGAAGTGGAACATATGAAAGAAAGATTGCAAGAAATGCAAAATGAGAAAACTGCACTCCTAGAAAAAAATACATCACGTGCTACACGCATTGCACAGATGAAGTGTGAATCTTAGGAGAGATAAGATGAAAGGCCACCAGAGCAGGACTTGAATGAAGATGTGGAATTACCAGTTGTGAAATTACGTTAAATTGGATGATGCTACTGGAAAGCTTTCTTGCTCCTGGTATCCAAAAATTCACAATGAGACCACATTTGCAGGGCACGATGTTGTAGAAGACCCACAGACTCACGGTTATGCCTGGACAGCAGCCGCTTATTTGGTTGTAGGTTATGGTATCAAAGGGAGGGAATGTGATGGAGACAGGTTTCTCTTTTCTCGTTGGAACATGCAGCCAGGTCCCTTTGTGACTGGTAAAACCGGAGATTCTCAGGGCCACTTTCTGGTAGAGTGGCTACAGTGACTAGTCGATCTGATGGGCGCTCAGCCAATCGGAGGGGTTGTCCCACCCCCGGTCCTGGAGAAACCTGTCTCAGTTGTCACATTTTCCCTTATTGGCATGACCTTAATCTAAATCAGCATGCTTTTGTCCAGGCATGTCAAGTCTGTAGCACTTCTTTGAGGAAGACTTCCATTTGTTTTATTTTGTGAAGGACAACTTATGACTCACCTTCTGTCATCTTCATTCTCACTGCGGTAACAACCTGAAAAATCAAGAATGTACACTTAAAATTACAATTTGCGAATCTCACGAAGCATCTGTGTAATAAGGAAAATATTAATATCAATTCAAAGTGGAAAATAAATTGTCAAAATATCAGTGTTTCAACAGATTTGATAATTAAACTGTGGGTTCTTGAATTTGAAAGCTTGTTTTATTCTGTGTACCGTTTGAAATTTTTATTTCTTTGATTAATGTTCTGTTTAATTACAAAGAACAGTCCTTAAATAGATATCGCAGTTCACACTAGGTATAAATGTTTTGTTGTTGTGATACCGCTGATGTTGCTGCACAGCGTATAGAGGAAACTGTTTTTTTTAACAAGAGTAGGAAAAGAAATAATTTTCAAGACATTAATATTAATACACAATAATATGAAGTTGGGTCTGTATGGACTAGGATACGAGATAGATTGGTCTCAACTGGCTAGAGATATCGAGTGCTGGGCTTATGAATGTGTACGTGCAGGGTCCATAAAGAAGCGAAAATGTTTAACCAGCTAACCTACCATCACTATCTAAAGAAAGATTCTGATCCACAAAATTGTTGTAGTGAAGGTTTTGTATAACAAGCGTATATACATGCATCACAGTCAAGGGCACTTTGATGGACATAATTCAGTTAAGAACGGAACACCTAATCATCAAGGAGGCCCAGCTGTAATTTTACAGATTTCGAAAGCAACATTTACATGTAACTTATTTTGTATTGGGAAGTTAATCTCTCACATGAACTTCTTATTATTATGTTGCCTGTCGTTTCGATTCAGAAGTACATCTAGTAGTAGATATGTTTGTTTTAAAATTAGGTTATGCAGGATACATTCATCTCTGCCATCTTAAGTTGATTTGACTTGTGACATATCTTAAATAAATTATATTGTTTTGCAATTTCTTTTCTATTTCCAAACAATGAACGGAATAGAGAAAACTGCATAATTCATTAAAAAATATCGATAGGAAACATTTTATTAATAATATTGTGAAAAAACCCAAAAAACAGTGATTCCTGCTATTTCATTTGCAGACTCTTCTCATGCAGTGATCAAAGACAATTATGAATTTGTTATGTTTCATGCTTGTACACAACAGCAAAAATATCCCATTGTGGCGTGCTATAAGAAACGAGGTTTTATGAAACGTTTGTGGGTAACACCTTAATATTGTCACCACCTGAAACTCCTTCAGAAACCCAATATTTATACTGAATCTGACGGTTGCTGTATCCGTT